TACCCCAGAAGATAGCGAGTGAGCCGTGGTGGAGCTGGTGGTGTTAATGTTCTGCAGCAGGAGTGAAATAGCCTGGAGAGGTGCAGCAAGAGCAGGGGCGTGTGCCCTAAATAGGAGGGTTAAACAGGGCTTATTCTGAGGGAAGCAGTAATTGCAGCTTGCATGGAGCGGTAATATTCTTTTGTGCATTATTTACCCAGGAACATCTGCTAATACATATACATTCTCCGGTGCATGTAAACAACTTGTGCAGGAAGAGGATTAGGAGATTTATAAAAAAATTAGAAGCAAGTTAAAAGGGCAATTAGAAGAGCAGAAAGAGATATTGAGCAGTGAATTAGGGAGGATATTTTAACACACAATCAGAGCTCCCCGAGACGTATTCAGAGCAGAGAGAAGGTAAAAGAGAAAATTGGCCAATTACGAAATGATAGCGGGGAATTGGTGACATGAGAGAAGGTAATGGCTGATTTGTTAAACAGTTATTTTGATTCTGTTTTCACAAAGGAGGAAGAGGATGGAGGGGCAGCTCCAGAAAGGACTCGGGCTGTGAGGATGAGGGTGGGGATGAGCCTGCAGAGAGATAAAGATGCATCTGCAGAGTGGCTGGGCGTGGGGAGAATTTCACCCGTGTGCACAGGGTGGGGGGAAAAACGGATTTTAGTGAGCAGCTATTTCCAGCAGGGAGCTGGGGAACAAGGGGCTTGTGTTACAACACCCGCTTTTGTTCACCAAATTGGCTTTCTTTGAGTGGGGACCAGAGAGGTGGTCACCGAGCTGACACATCCTTCTCCCTGCTGAAGGCTGCTTCTCCGGGAAAGGGGAGGACAGAGATGGATGGGGACTCTGGAGGGGTGCTGCTCCTGGGGCTGCTTTTATGTGGGCAGAGATGTTTTTGGCTCGTCAGCGTGACACCTTCCCCAAAAACACACATTGCAGAGCGTGAGCACCTGTGTCCTGCTTTCAGAGTTGCTTTTGCTTCCATCTGTAACCCACAAACTCCAACGCAGTCAGGAATACAACAGCATCCCTGGAATCACTGTTCCCACCAGCACTGGTGTCAGTATCTCGTGTTTCTCCAAAGCAGGGGTGAGCTGGATGTGGTAAGGGAGGGACAGGAGGCTGGGGGCACAGGGGGATGGTGCCAACCAGCAGGACCTCAAGGAGATAGTGGTGAAAAGGGGAATCATCTTGGTAATGGGCTCTTGGGAACTGTTCCTGGGGAGTGGTTGAAGCTAAGACAGGGAAAGAATACACAGGCAGGGGATTAAGGGAAGGATAAACTTGAAGGACTGCAAAAAAAGTGTTATTTAGCTGCAAGAAATGTGAAGTGTTTCTTTTGTTCTGCTCTGCCCCTCTGAAGGGGAACATGTCACAGAGCAACTTTGTGAGACAAAGGAAATACTTTGGAATTGGTGCAGGGAGGCACAAGCGTGGTCTGGGAAGTGATGGGGAATACAGGAGAAACTGCGGTCTCATGGTGTTGCTTTAGACTGATAAACTAAAAATTTATTCTCAGTATCCAAGAGGTGTTTGGTTTTTCATCTTGCCTGGGAGGATAAAAGAGATGCAGTGTTGCGTGGTTTCTGATTTCAAAGCATGTACGAAAAGCTCCATATTAGCAATTATGGGATGAAACTGTGGAAAAGTGGCACAAAGGAGGGAAAATTGGCTCCGACTCAGGAAACGGGATTCTGCCGCTGGGAGTGAATTTCCAGAGGCACAGTCTGGGGTCTCTTCTGGGTTCTCTGGTGTTTATTTTTTTTAATGGAAAGGATTTGCATGAACAGCCCAAAGTCAGAGCGTTAAAGCTCACTGATGGAAGGAAGGGGAAAGCAGCCACAGAGACTTGTCTCATCTTCCAGAGCAGCACAGACTGGAGAACACTGAAGGAAAGGCAAACTGATGAGCAAATAAAGGCTCAGGTGACATTTTTCCCAGGGGAGGTGTGGAGAGCTACTGGCAGTGTTTGCCCAGGCAACAGGGCCTGTCTGCCCCCACCACAAGAGGGGATCAGGGCACGTCCAAAGGATGAGCTTTTGATAGGAGCATGGAAAGGTGTAGAATTTATAGAATCATGGAATCATTTAGGTTGGAAAAGACCTCTGTGGTCATAAAGTCCAATAGTTAACCTAGCACAGCCAAGACCACCAGTAAACCACGTCCCCAAGTGCCACATCCACAGATCTGTTAAATCCCTCCAGGGATGGGGACCCCAAGCCAGGTGCCCTTGGCCTTCTTGCCCACCTGGGCTCATGTTCAGCCAGTGTTGACCAGCACCTCCAGGTCCTCTCCAGACCCTGCCCCAGGTCTGTAGTGCTGCATGGGACTGCTGTGAGCCAAGGGCAGGACCTGCCATGTGGCTTTCTTGGCCCTCAGCCCATTGGCCTCAGCCCATGGTTGCAGCCCAGCAAAGTTCCATCCCCTCAAAGTGGCCGTGGTGCTTCCCACCACTTTGGGCTTCAGCTCTTCACCCCTGTCAGACACCTTGGGTGTCTGGGAGCAATTGTAATGAGATCCCAAGTTTCTCCAACTTATGTCCAGACAATCTCTGGCAAGTCAGGGTTGTACCCACGTCTGCTTTGACTGGAGAGCTGCTGCTTCAGAGGGGAGGGGATTTCTGCCAGGCCTCAAAGCAGCATTCAAAATGCATGAAGACACGCTGTAGGAAGGAGCTGGGGAAAGGACACACGAGTGTGAACCCAGGGCTGTGGTGAGCTGAACCACGCAGCTGGGAAGTTCGTTATCGAGTCTGAGTGTCAGAGCATGCCATAAAAATTTAGTTTATCCTCAAAGAGCTGTGGTTGTGGAAGAAGGGTGGGAGTGGGGAGGGATGACAGCTACAGAGGAGACAGGAGGAATATCAGGAACCTGCGTGTCCTGGTTTGGGCTGGGTTAGTTGATTTTCTTTCTAGGAGCTGTGGTTTGGGTTTGGGATGAGAATAATGTTGATAAAATGTGGATTTTTTTATGTTGTTCAGCAGTGTTTGCCCTGAGTCAAGGACTTTTCTGCTCCTCTGAGGACACTGTGGGGCACAAGAAACTGGGAAGGGAGAGCTGATCCCAACTGGCCAAAGGGATATCCCAAACCAAATGGAATCATGGTCAGTATAGAAACTGAGAGCCACTGCTGAGGGACTGGCTGGGCATCAGCAGGTGGTGAGAAACTGCACTATGCATCACTTGGTTAGCATATTCCAATCCTATTGTTACTATTATTATTTCTCCCATTTCTGTCCTATTAAACCAGCCTTATCTCAAGCCATGAATGTCACTTGTATTCTTCCCAATCCTCTCCCCCGTTCCAGCACGGCCATGTGGTGCTCAGCTGCCTGCCAGGTTAAGCCACAATGCCGTGTCAGGAGACATCTCCTATTTAGCAGTGTATCATGTCTCCCTTCTGGTTTTTAAACAGTTGCCTTTATCACTAGGAGTTAGAGCACTTGATTGACAAGGCTTGTAATACACCATGGAGTTGCCTTTATTTTTCCTACATGTTAAAGGAAAAGATACTAAAAATACAATTACGGTTTTGAGCCAGGCATAGTCTGTTCTAATATAATTCATCTCAAAGACTATCCACCGTGCCTGTTGCACCCAAATCATTTATAAAACATTAGCATCTCCTGTGCTGACATTTCACTCCTATATTACAGGAGTTACATGCAGACTTAAAAAAAAATTAATAAAGTGCTTCTCTTCTTCATTCTCCCACTGAGAGCTTTGATTTCCAGAGTATGAAACGAAATAACCAACATAACAACATGCTCCACTTCTGAGGGACAGTGCCAGACTCATTCAGTTGCTATTGGTTATAGAGAGTAGGACATGAGGGAGCTATTTCAGATCACGGATTATTTGTTCTGGCTGCATTGGACATCCCTTTAGTGGAGCTTTAGAGCCCTGTAGACAGAAAAGTTTGGGTAGGAGCTGGAAGGCAGAGGGCTTGATGAAGTAACCTCTTCCTTTCTCCTCCCAGAATTACTCTTGCTATTCCCCAAGAAGGGTGTTTGAAAGAGAAGCATCCAAGCCTCTGGCCTTCCTTGCTTGCAAGACAGACAGAGGAGGCCATGCCCCTCCAGCTTCCCACTCTCACCATCCAACTGCTCATAAACACAAGTGCATTGGGGAATTTTCTGCTTTTCTTCTCAGTGGGAGTTTCCCTTTCCATTTCCAGATGCCTCCAAGGGATCTGCCACTATGTAAATACCCTCTCCCTTTCCCCAAAGTGGTTGGGAGAGCAGGTTTCCCTAGCTGGCCCATCCTTCCTGGAGCTAATTCCGTGTCTGATTCAAAACTCCAGCTGTTTTCTTCAGGATTTCCTGCCCCACACCTGAACCACAGGCTCAAAATACCACCACTGAGATAGAGTTACAGAAAGAACAGAAGCCTTTTCTTGTCCAAGATCACTTTTATTTCCCTTGTTTCATTAACTTCAGTGTCTGTTTGGTCTCACATATCCACGCTGACAGGGAATTCACACCAACTGCAGAATTTGGGCAGCATCTCCCCGAGCCCATGGGCTGCCGTTGGTGGAGCTGCCGGCTCTGCCATGCCCCCGACCAGCAAACACATCCCTTCAGCACATGGTTTAACCCAGGAAGAGGGGAATAGGATGCTCTGCTCCCTCTCCTCCACCTCCCCACAATCCCCTTTGTACAGCTCTCTTGGACCACGGATTTCTCTCTCCTGCCACGGACCACAAACCTCGGGCACCGCTCTTCTCGCCGGTCCTCTACAAGCTGTAGTTTCCCCCTTTTCTGACTCTTCCAGAATCTGTTCCTTTTAAGAAACAAAACCGCTCCTGACTCTGTCAGGTCTGTCTGCAGCCTGGGAGCTGCTCCTTGCTGCCCCAGTGAAAACCTTAGTCCAGCTATTAAGGTCCTCACGCCACCGCCACGGCTGGGAAGCCCCTCTGTGCCTCCAGCCCCAAAACCAGCCCCTTTCCTCCCCGGGGCCTCCGAGTGCTCTCCAGAGACAGAGCTCTATGGCTCTATTTATTTGGGCTAATTAATCTCTCTTTCTCCCCCCCCCCCCACTGGTTACAAATTAGGATGTAAGGGTGAATTTTGGCTCTCTGGGTATGGACTTTGCTGCATCGCACACAACCACCCCCCAACCCCTCCCAAAGTTTAGTGCTCTGAATTGCTGAGAACATTGGTCCGTTGTGGTTCCCCCGCGTGTACTGAGCCCGCCCGATGGCTTTCAGCATCTGTAGGCACTGCTGCCGGTTTGTTTTCTCAAGGAAAAAAAAAAATCATATACTGGTCTGCTATAAATTCAATAATACAATCCTTAGTTCTGAAGATACAGTTTCCATATAGTTTATAAACATTGTAAGACATACATATGGATAATTGAGGGGAAGAGGGGGAGCCTGTGCAATTGTTGGTTTTTTTTTCTCAGATGTGTGAACATGGTTACAAAAAACACACCTCCTGCGGGTACCTCATCTCTTTATGTGTTGGGTTTGTTGGGGTTTGGTTTTTTTGTTTGTTTAATTCCACCTCTAATCAGTCTTTCCTTTGGTTGTTGGCTACTCCAAGCCCAGCAGGCAAGCCCTGTTCTGCTGTAATGCCTGAGATATTCAGGAGTTTGAGATTGTCTTCTAAGAGATTCCCAGCCAACTTTGGCCTCTGGGTTTGGAGCCAAAAGGGCTAAAACGTGGGAGAACCAAATGTCCTTATTTCATCGGTATCAGTGTCCTTGCACTCACTTTCAGAGAGAAACAGTGTAGGCTTAATCGGTGATGGTTTTTACAGCAATTATGTTCCTTTCGGTAATTGGAGGGGTCGTTCAGAGTGCTCTCAAACGAACGGGATTTCACAAGAGCATGGATACAGTCCATTTGTCCGGGTGTTGTCACCGACAAATTGGTTACCGTCCCCGTTATCAGCTTTTTGTAAGGTTGGCTTTGTTGTTGTTGTTGTTGTAGGTGCTCGGTTAGGCTGTTTGTGACAAGGTGTGATAATGCCTTTTAATCTGCTCCCGCTGCGCTCGGCACAGTCCGGCCGGGCACGGAGACAACCCTCAGAAGCCGAGACAACGTTCTTCCCTTCGCCAGGCCAACGCTGAGCCACGTACAAAAAAAGAAGAAGAAAAGAAACTCTGGTCCTTTGTAGATTGGTGGCAGTACAGCTCCGCTCCGTCCGCGGCCGGAGGGAGGGGGGCTCAGCGGATGACGGCCGCCAGCACCACCATAAAAACCAGGAGGGATGCCCTGAGCCCCGGGCAGCCGGCGGCCTGCTGGACCCCGCTGGGCGGGCGGATGGGCGTCCGCCGGGTGCACTTACCCTTGCGCTTGGGGGACAGCGTGGGCATGGCCCCAAAGCTGTATTTGTGCTGATAATCAGGCACATAGTCTGGGACCTCCTGCCCGTTTTTGCGCGGCCCCAAGGACACCGGTTTGGAGGTTCGGTTACGGCTTTTGTGGCTGGTGCAGTTCTTGCCGGGTTTGCGGTAGCCCGGCCGGGAGCCGGGGGGGCCGGCGGGCTGGCTGCTGTGCAAACTGTTCTCAGCCCCTCGCTCCTTCCCCTTCTCCTTGGAGGAGTGGTGAGGGTGGTGGGATTTGGAGGCTCCTCTGTCCGCTGTAGAGAAGGTGTGTGTTTTCATCTGGTGGAGCGACTCGGACCCTGAACAGTTCCTAAAGTCTTCTGCTCTTAGCACCTTGAGGTCCTTGCCGTGCATCTGCTCGGGGGACTCGCAGATGACGCTGGAGCTGGAGCCTCTGAACCTGTGCAGCCATTCCCAGAGGGAACGGGCTTTGCAGTCGCAGCTCCATGGGTTCCCATTCAGCCTGAGAAACTCCAGGGCTCCCAGGTGGGCCAGGCAGTCCCCCTGCAGCTCCGAGAGGCTGTTATTGAACAGGAAAAGGGTGGTCAATCTTCGGAGGTCATGAAAAGCCCGCCTATGAATCCACTGCAGCTGATTTTGATGGATGAGCAGCCGATCCAGGTTTATTAGTCCCCTGAACGTGTTCTGATGGAGGCTCCAGAGCTTGTTTCCATGGAGAAAAAGATGGCTGAGGTTAACCAAGTCAACAAAAATATCATCCTGAAGGAACTCGATGTGGTTGTCTTGCAGGTAAAGGTATTGCAGGTTGTGGAGGCCACCGAAAATCCCGCTGGGGAGGGAGCTCAGCCCGCACTTGTACAGATACAAGGCGTGGAGTTTCACCAGCCCTTGGAAAGTGTCTGCAGCTAAAGCCCTTAAGTAGCGGTTGTCCCCCAGGTCCAGCTCCTCCAGGTTGACGAACCCATCGAAGGTGTTGGGGTCGATGAAGGTGATGTTGTTGGAGTAGATCCAGAGGGTGACCATGGAAGGGCTGAAGTGGCCCCGCAGCAGCAAGGTGATCTGGTTGTTTTGGAGGAAGATCCTCTCGCTGTCCTCGGGGATGCCCTCGGGGATGGTGACAAAGTTGTGAGCCTGGCAGCTGACGGTCATCGGGGAGGGGTAGCACACGCAGTCGGTGGGGCAGCCCAGGGCACCGGGCACCTTCAGCCCCAGCAGCACCAGCAGCAGCTCCGCAAACCCCCCTGTGCGGAGAGAGGGGAGAGCGGCGTCAGCGGGAACCGGGCACCTCCCGCCCACCCATCGCTGCTGTGGAGACTATTCCGGGTGAAAAACGCCCCCAATTAGCTCAGCCCTCCTCTCTGCTCATGAATTACCCACGCGGCTGTGATGAGTAGGCTCATCACCCACGGCAGTTCAAACGTGATGTATGGAGTACTCCCTGCCTCCTCTCCCTGCCTGCAACAGGCGGCTGGTTGTGTTCCCAGCCCCGAACAGGCAGGAGAAACTTTTCTCGGTGAGAATTCACGCTGGAAGCGCAGGCAGCACAACCCCTTGCCTGCAGGCAAGGAAACGCCGCGGTGTGAGAGCAAACAGAGGAAATTCAAACTCTCGCAGGTGCCCCCACTCCTGCTGAAATGCATCTGTTAAATCGCCTGCACATATCGGAGAGGAAAAGCTGCAGAGATTCAGCAATTCCCAGCGAGCCACCTAAAATTACACGTGTGCAGTGCATCCCACACCCCCCAAAGGCACAGACCCATCCCCACCGTCTCCTTTCACTACAGTTGTTAGACACCACCATCCACTCCCCAACCCGAGTGATTTACAGGGAAATATGTTGTCAGCAGTTGGTGGAAAAGGCTGAGCCGAAAACTCCGTTTGGAAGTGGGATGCTCAGACATATTTTTAAATGGATGTCCTGTGGCAAAGCATATTGCATCCTCTAATGCTCCAGTATGTGCCTGTGACTGGGGCTTTCTCGCAGCAGAGAAGCAGAGAGCGAGGCAGAATCATCCCCTCCCTCTGCTGAGCTCTCAGAGCTCCGGTTTCGCCGCCCCGCTCCCGTCTCGCTCCCACTCCTCGCACCAGGCTTGCTTTCAGGCTATTCCTTCTGCGCCGAGTGGCTTTTCAGACTCATTGCACCAGACTTGTCATTTCTCATTCAGATTTTCCTCCTAGATTTGGCTTTTTCCTCTTACACACAAAATTTGCTCACGTCTAATGAATTCTGCCTCTGGACTTTACAGGGAAAAGGAGTAACAGCGGAGCAGCGCACAGCTGCTGGTGCCATCCTGCCCACGAGTCCTGCTCAGCTTGTAATAATCTGAAAAACGAGAGTGGAAGTGGAGTTCATCTCTAATTACTCCACGTCGTTATCACCAGCTAGTCCAAGAGCTGCGACCCCTTGGGCTTTTACAGTCTCTCTTTTCAGTGCCTACAGCCTAAAACAAGTTGGAGGCACAAAAACCTCAATGTTTTCTTATTAATTGTGTTTGAAATATAACTGTGTGGTTGCTGTTGCCTTTTCCCTTGTATGGAAATCTATTGCCGTTTAGTTAACAGCAGGTGACCCGTCCATCTAGACCCATCCTTTCAAGGCAAAGTTGCCACATATTTTAGATAAACTGGGTTATTCAGACTCTCCATAAATCACCAGTAAGAGCCAGTCATCACCGACTGGGCGGTTAATAGGAAAAAAAATAGCATTGCTGCCCAAAGCATTGGATGGAGCTTTGCCTGGGAATGGGAATGAGGGGGATGACTTCCAGGCACTGCCCTTCAGAAACGAAGCATGGGCTACCAGGAGGGATGTCTCATCCCTGCACCACTGCCAAAAAGGGCTGGTGAGTCGGGAACGCTGAATTCGCGACAACTCCTACGGCTGTGTAGGAAAAGGAACATTCTCCAAGTCACTGCCGTAGCATTTTGGCTTTGCTGTCGTGCCTCTGCACGATGAGCATGAGCGAGGGGCTGCGCTGGTGGGAGCATCGTGCTGACTACCCAGAGCTCCCTGCCAAAACGGGAGCCCTGGCTGCCACTCACAGCCTGGGAAACAGCGGTATCCTGAGGATATTGTGATTATCCTACCATGGGAGAGGTAAAGCAATGTCTGCAGATATATTCTGCTGGGTTTTTAAACTCGAGGATGTGCTTCACCGAGGTGGGACAGCTCCACGTCCCCCGTCTTACCTCGGTGACACCGGAGCACGGCGCCTTCCGTAGGTCTGATGTTTATTAGTAAAACCCTGCCAGGCACAAGTGCTGTGACGATCTCCCACATGCAGAGCCTGTTATTGCAAATACCAAATCACAAGGGTCTGAATCAATAAACCATCTCCCAGCTACACGCAGCAGGTTGGAAGATTACATATTGCTTCCAAACAACAGTTTTATGCGCTCTTCCGTGACACGACAGTTGCCAGGCTAACGGGATTACTGACGGGAGGTGGAGCTGGGCAGGGATCTGGGAGCATACAGGATTTCATGTATAGGGATGGTGATGACAGGAGGCTGTTAGCAACGCGTGGTGATGGACCAAGGCAGCCCAGGCCTCCCTGGAGCACGGCCAAGGTAGAGGCTCCTGCCGAAAGGGAACGCAGTGTTTAACAGCTCGCTGCCTGCAGGGATAGCTCCGGAGGTAAAGGTCAGAGGGAACTGAGTCCATCTCTTTAATTAACAGGCGGCTGTGAGTTAATGGCTGGAGCTCCTATGGAGAGAGAGATGGGATTCCTGCAGCCAGGGAGGGCGGTGAGGATGGGCTGGGGTTTTTAGTAGTTCTCATCTTCCCGCGAATAGGACGGTGGGAAGAAAAGACAGGGATGTCTTTTCCCCTATTGCAACTTGGGAGTAAGGAGAATGGGGAAACAGAAGGATGGATACTTAGAAAAAAAAGGGTGAACAGGGGAGCAGGACTTGGATAGGGAGTAGGTTTATATTAGGTGTAATGAAGGAATTCTTCCTTGCAAGGGTGGTGAGGCCCTGGCACAGGTTGCCCAGAGAAGCTGTGGCTGCCCCATCCCTGGAAGTGTCCAAGGCCAGGTTGGATGGGGCTTGGAGCAACTTGGTCCTAATGAAAGGTGTCCCTGCCCATGGCAGAGGGGATGGAACTAGATGTCCCTTCCAGCCCAAAGCAATCCGTGATTCTGTGAGGCTCTGGACTCCCCAGTGGATGCACATAAGGCCTGTGGTATCATCAAGGAGATTTTTCCTCCAAGCCTGTAAAACCTGCTGACTGCTTAGTGCTGTGAGAAGCTGCTCCTGGCATGCTCTGGGACTGGTCCCAGTTTAGATCCGTCAATGAGATCCCCAAAAAGCAGAGGCCATGGTCATGGAGCCATGAAGCTCCTGAGGCTGGTAACACCAGCACTGGGATATCCAGCAGCCAAATCCCACTGGGGTGTGATAGCCAGGAGCACCTGGGTCTCACTGGGCTTCCCAGACTGGAAAACACCATGGGAGCCTCCTGAGAAGCCCCAGCCCGGCTCTCCTGAGAGTTTGACCCTGTCTAACTTGTTATTCCTGACTCAGCCCTTTCAACTTCATCTGGTAAAGGTTGTGAGGCACACAGAGGGTCACCAGCCCCAGCATCGGAGCTCACCGGGGAGGGAGAGCTTCAAAAGCAACGTGGAAAAATCCTCCAGAAACCTGCTGGTGTAGTGAGTAAAACCAAATCCCTGCTGACATGGATAAAACCAGCAAAGGGGTGTTTATCTGCTGCCTTTCTCCCACTGACGTGCTGTGTCACCCCAGCCTCTGCTCGCCGAGTCCTTCTGCTGCCTCCTGCTTCTGACTGAGGTTTCAGTGATTGGAATGAATTCGTCTGACTGTCCAAACCATTTCCCATGTAACATCCCTCTAATTGGGCATTAATTAGGCATCAGTTAATGAATGCTTGAAATAATTTATCTTTGGATGCGTCCAGTTTGCAGTCTTACTTTTAACAGCATTAGACTCATTATTAGATTAACATCGTTATAAATGTTCTCCATTACCTGCTTGTTTCCATTGTCTTAGCCTTATTACTGAGAGTGAAAATCACTCCTCCCACATGCATTATTGATGAGTAAGGACTTTCTATATGTAGCACGGGATTAATTGTTATACAGTGTAATGCATTTAGCGTGAAGCCTCAATTTGTGCAAGAGCTGAAAGCAGCCAGAAGAATGCAGACGCCCGGAGCCAGCGTGATCGGCCAGACACTGCACATCTCTCTTCAGCCCAGACCAGGTTCCTCCCAGGCCGGTGCCAGCACAGGAAGAAATTTAAAAAAAAAAAACAACCCAGTTTGATACCCAGGATCAAAGATGAATGGTTTGAAGGGTTGGAGCACTTCTCTGCCACCACGGCAGGGACTCTTGACTCTGCAGTGCCACTTGCTCCAGAGAGCCAGGTGTACCTGCCCTGGCAGTTTTCTTGCTTTTTAAGGTTTATAACACTTTACTGCACCTCTGAGCCAGGCAGGGGCTCGGTTTCTTTAGAACATGATGCCACTTACTTTCATTGGGAGGCTCAGACTCGAGGCCAAGACATCACTTAGTACAAGGGTGATTTTGTCTCTGGGGGGATGCTCCTGCAGGACAACCCTAAAAGGCAGCCCTGCCACAAACCCCAGCACCCCCTGCCCATTCCCTCTTGGCGAGCTGCTTCTCTCAGATGGATGTTTTCACCTCTCCACCCGGCCAAGCTTATATGGGTCAGAGCCTGTCTAATTCTCCAGCAGGAGAATCCGCTCTCGAGGATGGAGCAGGTTGCTTCTCTTCCAAATCTCTCCTAAACCCACCATCTGCTTTGGGAGACCCATCTTAGCTCATGTCTACATGCAACTTGACTGCCTGCTTACTGTGTCCATTACCGGGGCTGCTCAAGCTGTTAGATTTATAAGCTCTTTAGAGCAAAGCCCTCGTCTTCTGGTTGCTGATTTATGTATCTTTACTGCCATAAAACACTATGTATAGCTACTACATAATATAAATAATAATACTTAACCAGAGTGCGCTACAAGTGGGGACAAAGCATCTGCTCACAGGCGGGATTATCAAAAAGAGAGAAGCTTCCTCATCACTCACCCTTTTTTGAGGCCAAACTCACACCTGCTCTAACACCAGCACCTCACTGAACTCTAGACAGAGATTTTCCTGTCCTGCTCCCACCCTGGATCTATCACAGGATTTTTCAAAATCCACCCCTAACAAGCTGGTGCACAAAGACATGACTACAACCCCCGGGGGGAAAGTACACTTTG